TACTTTCAAAGTATTTGCTCGAGATAGCAGAGTCTCGTGCTGATAACGTGTTATAAAATAAAGACTGTAAAGAAAAAACACGTATAGAGAGAAACTGATATATTATTCGAATTTAAACTGATGTACATAATGAACTGAAATCTCTTCTATTTATAGAAGAAAGGAAGCTGCTGTGTAAGCTGCTACTATACCAGATATGGATAATCTTCTACTGAGAGTAATGTTTATCCATAACGGAGTATTGAAAGGATAAGCTCATTGTACCAGGTATAGATAATCTTCTACTGGGGATAATGTTTATCCATAACGGAGTACTGAAAGAATAAGCTCATTGTACCCGTATGGATAATCTTCTACCGGAAGTAATGTTTATCCATAACGGAGTACTGAAAGGATAAGCTTATTATACCCGATATGGATAATCTTCTACTGGGGGTAATGTTTATCCATAACGGAGTATCGAAATGATAAGCTTATTACACCCGGTATGGATAATCTTCTACCAGGGGTAATGTTTATCCATAACCGGGTATCGAAGTGATAAGCTTCTTCATGAGGCTTATTTCCAATAGAGTACTAAATAGATAAACATATTTACGGCGGAGTCCCATATGAATAAGCTTCTTACAACGGAGTACTAAATGAACATCCATAATATAATATATTTATAACGTGATTCAACTATTCCTAGGACATATACAAATTATGCTAATAATTTTTGCAATTATGTTGTGCCTTCATATATTTCGTGCTCAAAACATTAAACACGTACAAAACTATACTATATAATTTTTAAGGAGCGAATTTTATAAATAAATAAATAAATTTTCACTCCGCTCGAGTAATAATGATATTAAAGGCATCCTTTTTAGAAAGCACACTTTACTAAAGTCAAAAGTTTTACTAAAGTGGAATATCTAAGTGCGTACCAAACATTTCTCAGACTTTCTTTTATTATTATTATTATTATTATTATTATTATTATTATTATTATTATTATTACAATTACATTTGCCATTTCTATCAATTTCTATTTATTAAAATTATGGGAAAATTTCACATTAGAACAACTGGGCTCCATATTTTTCAATTTTATAGTCCATATTTCAATTTACAACCAACTAGCCCATAAATAATAGGCTAAGATTCAACATCCAATTCCAATAGGTTCTCAAAATTACTATTTAATTTTTAAAAAAGATTCCTCAAGCTTTTAAATTACTTTTCGAATCAGTAATTGTGACTCAAATATTAATTCAACCAAACCAACTTCATTTAGGTGGTGAAAATTAAATTTTTAACAAGCTTAAATATGTGGGTTTAAATTTCGAATTTGATTTTATGAAAAATTTGGAGTGGGTGTTATTTAGACTTGTTAGAAATAGTATAAGGAGGTTGTATATAAAATTTGAAGTCATTTAATGGAGATTTGGACTGGTTTTGAATAAGAATTGCAACTGAAAATCGTGGAAGAAGTTCGTCTACAGACGCTTGTATAAACGTGTATAAAAGTGTATAACAGTGTATAAGGTGTGTTTCTACACTCATATACAATATTATACAAGATTATACATAATTATACAAAAAACTGACTTCGTCTTATTTCTTGCGTCTTTTCTAAAATTTAATTCAAATCTTGCTCAAATCTACTCCAAATCACTTCAAATTTAAATTTTGTACTCCTTTTGATATTTTCAATCAATTGGAACAATACCCAATCCAAACAACTAACAAATTCAAAACAACCCATTTTCAAAAGCAAAGCTTTGAATGATCTTCAATGGTGGACTTCTACTCTTCAATTTTCTTTCACTGCAAGCAGGTGACACAAGAGGAGAAGCAGAAAATACACGGTCCTTTGAAGCATATGTAAAAGATGTGAGAAGAAGAGAGAGTGAAAGCAATAGTTGTGAGAACAAAGAATTAACTCCATAACTTTTAGAAGCAATTGTTGTAAAAACATATATTTTGAATCTGCAAGTGCTTTCAAAATATGTACAATGTGGGCTAGGTGGGGTAAAACTTAAAAACATGGGCCATTTTTTGTTATGGTGTGAAGTGATGTGTATTTTCTTGTAATTCTTTCTAAAATTATTCTAAATTTCTGTTGTTTTTCTTTAATTTTTAATTCATTTTCTGTTATGTAGAAATAGAGGACCCCTTCAAAACCCTAATTTGTTTGTTTTATTCATCACTCTCCCCCCTCACTCTTCTCTTCTCATTTCCAATTTTTTTCTGAAAGGGTTAGGGTTTAAGATATTTGCGATGGCTACGACGGCGGCAGTGGCAACCAGCACGGCGGCGGCAACCGAGAAGAAGAAGCCGGTGTTTGTGAAAGTGGACAGTCTAAAACCTGGGACACATGGTCATAACTTGACGGTTAAGGTTGTTGATGCGAAAACGGTGAAAGCTACCGGAGGCGGCAGCCGTGGCGGCAGAGCATCGGGGTCTCTAAACCCTAGGGCTCCACCGCGGATCTCTGAGTGCCTCGTTGGTGATGATACTGGATCCATCCTCTTCACCGCACGTAATGAGCAGGGTATATATATCTGCATTTCTGAATTTTGTTTAGCTTTATAATTCTCTTATCTATTTAGAGATATTAATTTGGGTTTTATTGAGAAAATGAAAGGGGAAATGAAGGAAAATGATTGATTTTTTAGTTTTCCTTTTTGTGTTGTTTTAATTCTAATATTTTTCCCTTTGATAATCCAGTTTAGAGATAGATTATTGAGTATTGGATTGAGACGAGCCAAAATTGAGTGATAGATTTAGAGGATTCGTAGAGACAGTTCTAATGAGTTTGGAATGGAGGCATAATTGATATTATCATTGTAGTGATATCAGTGGTGGACCAAGGAATTCTAAGTGATGGGTGCTCAGCTGCCTTTAAGCCAATTTTTTAACCAGCGTACCCATTGCCGTATCCCTACGACCTATAGTTACGGAGTTCGAACCGTGGAAGCAACCGCTAATGCTTGCATTAAGGTAGGCTGTCTACATCACACCCCTTGGGGTGCGCTCCTTCCTTGGAACCTGTGTGAATGCAGGATGCCTTTTGCAGCCGGATGCCTTGTGCAGCGGGCTGCCTTTTTTACCCATTGTCGTATCCTGTCTCTCTATTTTTTTTTACTAAGTTTGCAATGTAAATATATTTGTTTGGGTCAACAATATGGGTGCTTGAGCACCCAGTAGCTTAGATGTAGGTCCATCGTTGGTTGTGCAGGAAGTAGTAGGCACTCAAAGGAATAGTTGAGGTGTGCACAAGCTGGCTCAGAAACTATCGCTATAAAAAGAATAACATTACCTTATAGAGTTCGTAATGAGAGAGATGGAGTTGCATTTGTTAAAATAACCTGGAAATCTATTTTAGCCAAAAAAAAAAAGGAAACCTGGAAATTGGAACTTTGTGTTAATGTAGGTTGAAGAATTGAAGAATTTAGAGATATATGAATTTGCAGTTTCTAGTTTCATGTTTGATAGTGGTGTTATGAGACATGCTTGAGTGTTACGTTTCTCTTTTAGCAAGTTCCACTTAACATTTTTATTTTCTGCTGAAGAAATATTATATTGTTTTGCTATTACTTTTTATGTGAATTCTAACATTTTGCATCATAATGTGAATTCCGGGTTTTATTGTTCTGTGTTTAAGTATTAGTATCTCATGCTACCCTTCTCAAAGGTTTAATCACTTTGCACTTCACCTTATCTTGTTAGGAAATTATAAGGTTGAAAACTTATCAAATAAAAGGTTATACCAAGTACCAATTATGATCTGGATGATGATTTTACGTTAATTATTTTGATACCTCTTTGCCCTCATATTCCATTCCACCAATACTTTCACTTTGTGGAGAAATGGTGATTTGGTGGCTCTATGTATTCAGGTTGCTGGCAAATGTGGTTTGTTTTTGGCCGGCAAATTCTTTAGAACAGTTGTATTGTGATTTCTTGCAGAAAAGTCAATAAAATGATTCTTAATATGCAATCAGAGAAAAAGGGATGCTATCGGTGTTGTGATTGGATAAATCTGTTCTTTTATACAGTTCTATTGTGATTTTGTGCCCAATGACAAAATGACTCTTGATTAGCAATCAGAGAAAGGGGATGCTGTTGAATGTCCTCTGTTGTGTTATTTACACCTTTACTCTTTTATGCAGTTGATTTATTGAAGGCGGGCGCTACTGTGATTCTGCGGAATGCAAAGATTGACATGTTCAAGGGTTCCATGCGACTTGCAGTAGACAAATGGGGTCGTGTTGAGGTTACTGAACCAGCTGATTTTGCTGTTAACGAGCAAAACAACCTTTCTTTGGTTGAGTATGAATTGGTGAATGTGGAAGAGTAGAGGAACTAATTAGAAGCGGTAGTTTTAAGTCGTCTCAGAGTCCAATTCTTGTTTTAATTGTTAATTATTGAATTCCTTTAATTCTATGGAATTTTATGTGCAAGAATGCCAGCATTTCGGCTCTTATAGTTTGTTTCCACCAATCCATACCATGGTAAATCGGTTTCTTTGTTTGGATTGTTTGACTTTCATAGATGTGGATTCTTATTCTTATTTTAATCAGTTGGTGCTGGTGTACGACGTAATCTTGACATAAAATCTATTTCAGTGCCACATCTGACTTTCTTCTGTTATATGTATACATTTTAACCTTTTTTGGTTGTATATACATATAAATACATATTAGTTCAAAATATAACAGTTGGTTCAATTTTGTTCTTTTTAGTACTAGAGTGTGAAGCAAAGTGATTAATTTCCCAAGCGTTATCGCATGTTTCTCGCTTTATGGCGCTCTACTGTTGTCAGCTTAAGATGTTCAATTAGTTCCATGTGGATCATGAGATGTAGGCATCCAAGTAACTGCTAATTTCTTGAATTTCAACGTATTAAAGCCTATTTAAATCCATCCTCATTTTCAACGTCTGGTGACAAGTTTGGACTTGCATTCACGAGCTGAATACTATACAGTGTTCTAATAATTGTAATGGAAAAAGTGTTAAGTGTGTTTTTATTGACAAGTAGTTATAATTCAACAAAATCTGTACCACTGATGCAAACTGATTGAGAAACAGGTATTTATTGGGAGGAAAAGCTCAAGTATCCTAGTGTAGCAAAAACATGATATAGAAAGTTTAAAATGATTCCAAAATCTACAAAATATATCGTCGCTATATCAAGTGAGCTCCAAGAAGATTGATATTTTTCTCCAAGTGTTCCAAAAGGTTAAGATCCAGTTCGTCAATGTTTGGAAATGCAGAATACCACGGCAGTTGGCTATTCTCTCATATAACTTCTTTACATGGCAGTTGGCACCACGTCGTTAGGAAGAACAAACTGGTAATATTTGCTCCAGCTCCCCCAAAAGAATCATCACACATCGTCATTTTGAGCTGATTGAATAAAAGATAAATTTGTAAGCAGCAGTTTTAGCAAGTTTAAGTCCCACAAAGACATTTTAAGTTAACAAAACTAAGGCAGCCAACAAAATAAACATGCTACTGCTACTCTTATTTTAACAACTACTACTATTTCTACGCCTCAATTCCAAGCAAGTACTTACTCTTTTCTAATTAATATAATGAAAAAAACTATGAGGTTACATTCGCATAAAGGAGCCGGATCTCCTACAAGCATATTGTAAAAACTAGGAGTAATTCAATATTCATTAGCAAAATCTACAAACGGTCCAATCATTATATACTCCCAGAACAATCAAACTTTATTACAAAGCTTGAAAAAGTAATCAAAAGGGATTTTATGTATTAAAGTTGTGCTCTAAATTTGTAAGCTTCCGAACATAAGGAAAATCCCTTGCAGTCCTCTATGCTTGACCTTCATCTAGTTGTCAATGCCTACAGTATGAAGAACGAAGCATGCAGCACTTAATTGAAGTGAGGAAATAGGAACAGCTAAATAGGTGATGGCTGCTCTTGAAATATATGAGAGAAACAGCAATGACATTAATACTACTTGATTTTGCCTTCTTGTTATTTTCTTAAACTATTAGCACTTGATTTTATTGAACTGTTTCTGGGAAATTCAATTTCTATATGGGAACTTTTCCACTTTATCAGGGTAAAAGAGGTTTTGAGCATGCTGACTAGCCAAACTCAATTCCAATTTTATGATCAAGTAAGACTTTAGCCAAACTCAATTTCATAACCACGAAATCTTTGTTTGAAGCCTAAGGATGCAATTAAAGCACAGCTATTATGCCGAAGATCTCCATTACACCACAGGTATGTTCAAGAAATTCAAGAGGAAAACTTGATTGACTTACCAAAATCTTAAAACAAGGAAAAGGACATCAAAGGAGGGCCCTATAGGTGTTGCTAGATACCTAAATCAAGAATGAAACCCATTGGTTAGACATCCTATAATTGCTATATGTATGGAAGGAAATCGAAGACAAGAGAGAAAGAGAGAAAGAAAACTACATTAACAATGATATGGCGAAAACTTGCTCTAGAGAAATTTATGAGATATGTAGTACAATGCTCCACGAAATAATATATAGTAGCAGGTATTTAAATTTCCAAATCTACTTGAACATGAATGGAGGCTTGGGTTGAAGAACAAGACCAGCAATTGGACCAGATAAGAGCTTCAAATTAGCTACCTAATGCGAATGATTCTGCCATCGAATAGCCCTCTCCTGCAATTACAGTTCAAAACTACTAATCCTAACCTTGAACATCATCAACTAAAGATCATTACTAGAGAGACACATCAGATAATGTTATATGATGCTTCCCTGTTCAACATTCTTCCGTACCCAGCAATCACCAACTTAAAATCAAAATAATAGAAAGGAAAAACCAAAAATTCTTATAATTTTCATCATTTCAAAACCACTTTACATAGACAGTTGACCATTGTTACCTAAAAGTGTCCTTCCCCACTCCCCACCCCAAAAAGTAGGACAACCCACCAATTTTTTTTTTTGTGTGTGTGTTTGCGCGCGCGAGTGCGGGGCAGGGGGGTGGGGGTGGAGGATTAGTTCCTACACATAACAGTGAATATTTTTATGTCCATCATGTAGCTGTACTCCACCAAAACATGGATTAGCCGTCAAACATTTCCACCAGAATTAAAATTAAATTACAACTTACGCAGCACAAATTGCAACACTTTAAACAAGAACAAATCATGAATTGGATAGTCTGCTTTATTTAGGCCAATTAAATCAATAAGGTTAAGGTCGCAATAGTCACATAATTGTTGATAACAGAATCCAGCACACCGTAAACAAATGTATTAGGAAATAGTCAATAGAGTGAAGATACCTTCTGATAGCCAACCGTAACTGTGCATTGAGACAGTCAGCATGGAAGTCATCAAGGCCGAAGCAGTGGCTGTGTGGTATGGTTGCAGTGACTCCACACAAGCGCTCATCTCAGCCGGACACCTTCATATACATAATATTTCTAAGTCACACTGACAAATCTATGTGCATATAACACTAGCTATCCAGAGGCGGATCCAACATATAAGCAGTAGATACATGTGCCGCCACTATCTCGAACTCAAGCTATGGTTTAACTTATACACATTGACAATGTAAATAATTCTCAAGTTTAACAGCTCATGTTTTAGGCATAGATTTGTTTTTTTTAATTCTCTGATGATTGTAAATTGAGTTTTAGTTTGCATAGCAAGCTGAGATAGCTTAGCTATGGCTTTGTAATTACTTCATTGGTTATCAATACAAGACTGTTAGTTACAAACGAAAAATGTAAATAATTACACCATCGGTAATTTAGCAAGTTGTCAATCCATATTATATGCAGTTACCACAACCTGATTGTGTAAATAACTTTTACAAAATTACTATATACTTCCTTTGTTACAATTTATATGACACTCTTTCTATTTTGAGATGTAAAAATTATAATACACAGATCAAAATAAATATTTTAAATTCTACACAATTTATATGACACTCTTTCTATTTTGAGATGCAAAAATTATAATACACAGATCAAAATAAATATTTTAAATTCTACGTCTAGCCAATCATCATCATACAAATTGAAACAAAAGGAATAAAAGTTAAAACTCAATAGAAAATTCAAAGAGAGCTTTTAGAACTATACATATAAAAATTAAGTGGTGTGCTCACTGCGTTTAAATCCTGGATTCACCTACGTGGCTATCAATATATATTTTTTTCTATAGATGGGCAGATGTTACCTGAAGATACGATTGGAGAGAGCACTTCTAGAAGCTGCGCGAAAAGATGAAGGAGCAGTTTTCGATTCGGATGCTATTTTGGAAGCGGAATTGCGGACAGATGGTGACCGGAAAACGGACCTGGCGGCGGCCGATGCGGCGGCGGTGGCCATCCGATACGTAGAACTGCTTGGAAATGTATGGAGGAAATGGAGAAGTTGTGATGAAATCAGAGGGTTTTAGGCATGGAAAATCCCTTGACTCTCTACTAGTTCAAATTGAGCAATTATGAATTTTGTTAAATATTTTTGTCTAATTTTATCCCGCGTTAGAAAAAAGTTTTATGGCTGCCCTTATCTTTTTAGGGAGCTTTAATAAATAATTTTAAATTATAGTAAAAAATTGAAGAAATCCTTGATCTTTTATTTTCGAAAATTTAAACAAATGTAGTGTATCTATTTTATGCAAGAGTTCCGTTCATGATAAAGGGCGACAAAATTGAAACAATTTGAGAAAATAATTGTTTCCGATTTCATTATCGGGTATTACCACTTTTAGCTCGCGTCAGAAACTATTTACATTTGGTAACCGAAAAGTGTATAAATTTGTATATATATATGTATATATAGACTCCAATCTTAAGCCAAAAAGTAAAGACTTTCTTTATAAAATTACCTCCTATGACCAATTACAATGTACAATTTGAATGGGAAAAAATGACATTAACTTTCATGTTTCATTAATACCGATATCCCGTAAAACGGACACATAATTAAAATGATATTTGTAATACAACATAAACGTAAAAATTGCACGGGGCGCTCTATTTGGTCGCTCTCATTTAACCTATACCCATTTTTTTTAAAAGTTTTAACTTGTACCCACTTTTTAAACAACTTCAGCCCCCTTTCTCCTCCTCATTCTCCTCCTCAAAGTTATATCCGCCCTCAATCCGATAGGCCACTCCTTTCTGAAGTTGCTGATTGTGAAAATGTTCCAGTAATTGACATGGGCTGTGGAGATATTCTTGACGAAGTTTATTCTTCAGCTATCTCTTTTAAATAAATATTTCTTACTATTACTCAGAATTCCTTTTAATAGTAAGTACTAAAAACTCAAACGCGACAAGTAATTTGGCAAGAATACTAGCTGTTTGATTTCACAAGGACTTAGATTGCTATGCGATGTGAATTCACACTTTGAAAATCGTCGTGGATTGCCATACGATGTGATTCTCGCTTTGAAGATTATTGTGGATTCATAGTAATAAATAGCAAAAACTTCAGCTCTAGAGCTGAAGTTCAACAGTTACAAAACAAAAATTTCAGCTCTAGAGCTGATGTTCGCCAGTTACAAAAACAAAAACTTCGCCAGTTACAATTACAAAAACAAAAAGTTTAGCTCTAGAGCTGAGCTCGCCAGTTACAAAAACAAAAACTTCAGCTCTTCGCCAGTTACAAAACAAAAACTTCAGCTCTAGAGCTGAACTTCGCCAGTTACAAAAACAAAAAACTTCGCCAGTTACAAAACAAGAAAGCTTCAGTTTTTCAGTTCAGAATCCGGTTTGCCAGTTACAAAAACAAAAACTTCAGCAATTACAAACAAAAACTTCAGCAAATAGCGAACAAAACTTCAGCTACTATGCTTAAGTTCAGCAACTACAAACAAAAACTTCAGCACACTTACTACTTCAGTCCCGTCTTACTAGAATGCTGAAGTTTTGCGTGATTGCCTTTCCTACTTCAGCCCCGTATAAGTTACGCGAAAAAGTGGATACGGTTGCAATTTATTTTGCAAAGCGGGCACAAGTTAAAACATGACCCAAAAACCGGGTATAGATGCAAATACCCCACATAAACCCAATGTTCTAAATAACCCCACCCCCACCCCCATCCCCCTTTTCCAGTTGCTCCAAACAAAAACAAAAAACAAAAAAAACAAAAAAAGGACAGCCCAATACACTAAGCTCCCACTATGTGTGGGGTCCCATGGAAGAGCCGGACCACAGGGGTCTATTGTACGTAGCCCTGCATTTCTGCAAGAAGCTGTTTCCACAGCTCGAACCTGTGACCTCTTGGTCACATGACAACATTTACGTCAAAGTTCCCCTTCCAGTTGCTCCAAACAATTCAGTATAATATAAATTTCGCAATCAACAATGCCAGAGTAATAATTAACCCCATAACTTCCAAAAACTGATAAGAAAGTCCAACTAAAAAAGATAAGAGTAACTCTTTGGTTTAAGAAAGGAAACTTCAACTCCATAAATAACAAATTGTAAGAATACTATCCAAAACGAAAGGCAGCATGCAAGGCTAAGTTTCCAATGAAATAAGAGGTATGTGCCAAAGAAAATCATATCTAAAGCAAAGTATAGGATCTGCACTTCAATTTCAGTGAAGACCAGTGGCTGTTAACAAGGGGACAAGAGGGCAGGATATAACAGGTACAAATATGCTAGTAAAAAATATTTTCTTGGGCTAGCTAAGCCCCTTCATATAGTAAGATTTGGCCAATGTTATACCTCTAAAAACTCATGACTATCCGATAGGAGTCATTTTGCTTTCCTTTTAGACTATAAAGGGAGAACAAATTAGAATCTTGCAACAATCCAGTACTCAATTCTCTTCTTTCGTACATTTCTATGTAAAGGTAGATCCGGTAGCCTCATTGCCACGACGATCTCAGCACATGGACTAACCTTGAAGCAAGCAACCTGAGCTAAATAAATGCGTCTTCGTCTTCATCATCGTCCCCAGACATTCATCTCATGAACAAGTATCCTGGCCCAATTAGATCTTCTAGTGAACTCATTTCATACCATGACTAGTGGTCATCCCTATACTCGGGATTCTCTTTCAAGATGACAAAGCCTTCAAGAATGGGCGAGATTGGAATGTACCTGCATTAACAAGAAAATGTGAGTAGATGGGACTAGTTATACTGACGGGAAAAGTGTGTTTGTGTTCCCTCAGTTACTGAGGTTCCAATTTTGGGACTCATGACATTCGATAGAGCATAATAGCATATGTCTATGCTAAGTGGAGCTTGTATTAGTACTTTTAAAGTAAGCAATACAGGTTTAGAAATTGCCACCGAATATATAAGGAAAAATACTATACTAAGCCACTAAAAATAGCATATCACAGCTGCATGTTCATCTGATAAAAATTGATCAGATTGGCATGACTCTAGTGGTAAGACTAGTAGTATCTAGTTTGGTAAGATCAAATGTTCATAGCCAAAAATTATGGTAAAAAAAAAAGATTGTCAAATAATTAAGAGACAAAGGTGCACTTTTCCCTTAAAGAAAAATAGTGAAAAAATGGATCAACAACCATGCAATACAATTAGCAAGTTCAAGGGGGGAGGACAATACTTTTCTGTAGCAAGCTCAGCTCGATCCCCAGCAGCAAGGAGAACTGGGGTTGAGTGTGTTTGAAACCCCGTAATCGTCTTCGGTCGACCCGCCTGACCGATAACATCAACAGCTTGGCCAACTCGGACAGGCACTGACAAGGGTTTTAAATTCTCATCCACAGTCATCAGCATCCTTGGCTGCAAAGAAGAAGCAAACGTATGAATGATTAAAGAAAACAAAAGGGCGGCCGCAGGAGGGGGGCTCTAAAACACAGAGAAGAGAAACCAACCAACAGCCACCAAAAAGGACCAAAGTAGAGGGAGGGAAAGGCTAGTTCAACAGATAGCAAACCTGCATCGCCAGTGTCAGAAAATAAAGCACATAGTGGTATTTCCCCAAGATAATGGCCTTCATATCAAGACATACGTGCAGCAGAGTTACGAGTCCAGCCAGTGCAGTCCTGGAACAGTTCAAAATTTAAGAGGCAACAACAGATTGAGTGTTTGAAGGATCAAAACGGCTAGCTCATGAAGCACCGGTTCAATTATACATGTCAATTTTGATAGGAGGTTTAAGATAACAAATCTGCCAAACACTTCAAAAGAAACAAGGATATAACAGATCCTTTAACGGCAGTTCTCTGTTTATCTGCAAATATTCACTTGATCCTCTTTCAGAAAACCCTTATTAACTAGGTAAAAGACATAGATTTCAACTCAAAAATATCAGTTAGTAAAATGAGCCTCTAAGGGATTTACATAAGTAAATGCTTCTTCTGAGACAAAATATTTTGGAGAAGAATGCTTTATAATAGAAGAGAAAACTTACGGAGATAACAAAAATCGTTCAGAATGATATGGTGAAAGAGTTATCAAGCCCTTTCCCAAATGGACAAGACCTTGGGCGATTCGCACCTAAGTAGCAGATGCCAATGATTAGAGTAAGGGGGTTAGTAAACACAACTATGGACTAGTCACCAGAGAAAAATGATAATTTTTTATTTCTTACACAGAAAAGAAGGTTGGCTTCTTTGTAATAGTAACTGGACAGGTTACGCAGCATGCCAGCTATTCGAGCATTGTTTGTTCCGGCACCTATCAATCCCAACGAAATGATAGCAGCCTGTAGAATTTAGAGAAGTTTTCAGATTCAACAATCTAATAGCCACACAAATAACTATAGTCATCCAAAATTACCATTGCTACTTCACTGTCTGAATCATGACTAAGCCTGCTCAGTGTGTCCATGACATTGACCTATCCAAGTCAGCACAATATGTTACCAAGAGATACAAGCAGAAGAAAAGGAAAAACAGGCCTGCCACGACTAGTCAATAAAAGAGGTAAAACCAGAAAATTAACACAACCAAAGGAAGTAAAAGAAAAGTATGGAAATAGAAGTCAATGGTATGGATACTTCTGAAAATCATACCTTTGGATTTGATATGCAGAGGAGCGCAAGAGCCAATGGAACTGCTCTTCTAATATTTTGCTCTCCATACTGCAAAAGATGTTCTAGGGAGCGTATTGTCATTTCAAGCCCCAATTCTTCAGACATTGCTACCATTGCAATACCAAGGACAGCTGGTCCCTGATAGGTTTCACCCTTTTCAAGATGTTGAGCGCATTGACCAAGAAAGTGTTGGACCTAGAATAAAATAACAGTCAGCAATTGCACTTATCCTAACCAGAATCAGTTGGAAGTGAAAGGAGAAGAAACTTGTATTACCTTGAGTACGTTGCCTGTCCCAGCATAGGCACAAGAAAGCAGGGTCATATCACAATGCTTTCTGATCTTCTCGTGGAAAGTTTTCGAAACTTCAGCTGTAGCTTCGACACTTTCCTATAGGACATGATAGAGGGATACCAAATCAAAAAAGAATACAATCCAACAGAGTTGAATGAATATTGATGAATCTGAAAATCTAGACTATAGTGATACAAAATGCTAGTCTGCACAGATTTTCTTCAGTCTCTA